ATTTCGGAAATATTATGATAGCAGTGTCAGATCAATCCGAGCTTTAGAATAAATGTCTCCATTCGACTTAGCCTGATGAAATACCCCTGTCTAGTTGCTTTTTCGTATGATTCCAGGTGCATTAGCTGAAATCAGGGGTTTTAGAGAAAATCATATAACTCTTCAATGGAAGAAGCTACGAATTCGAACCTTGTCTAAATCGAAAGAGAACAAGTTGTGCTATCGATCGGTCATATCACAAGTTTAAATCGAAAGAGAAATTGCATCCAAATATCGTTTTTTAAAATCTCCAAGAAGAATTCATGTGATTGGTCAGTGAGTAACCAGTCAAACTTCGAGATAATATGATGACCCAGGTGTTCTCTCTTGAAAGGTCAGAACCGCAGGTCGCTAGCTGTAGCCGTTCTCGAGATATTTGCCTTAGACCCACCCGTATTTAATTCTGGCGCCGACAATAGTTAGACTATTATGAATTTGAATGTTATGGAAAAGTTTATCAGGCAAAATTATTTAAGAAATGGTGCTTTTTCGTATAAGTTAGAAGGCTATCGATATCTACGAATATGATTGGATAGTCGGCTGCGGTGAATTCTTTTTTTTTGCAAAGAATTACGCAAAATAAATATCTGTAAAGGTAATTGATAGATGATTTTGAAAAAGTGAAGTATCTACTTATAAGATAATAAATAAGTGAAAATAATTTATACTCTATTTTTCAAATTTCTCATTTGTGTCTATTGTATTTTTAAGTAATAATTCTTAATTATTCTTCAAACTTTACTCTACTTAGTATATTTTCATTTTCTAAGTAAGAAATATATGAGTTCAATCATTCGTTTATATTTTTTTTTTCAAATGAAATGTTAGTATTCTTGATAAATCAAATTGTTTCTTTCAGTTCAATGTTAACATTATTAATAACCAATCAATGTGAAATCTAGAATTAGTGATTAGTTTATCTTTCTTACCTAGAACAACTCTTCTTTCATTTCATTGTCCTATACAAAAATTAAAAAACAGGTTTTATTATTTCGTTTTGTCAAACAGAATTCATTCAATTCTATTAATCAAAAACAAAGAATATAAACAAATAAATTATTATGAATAGAAAAACAGCACACCAAACATGATTAAGATGAACATGAGATAATAATTTTCTTCGCCCACTCAGGAGATACTTGAGCGTATTCATTCATGTCGGGTTGTTCATCATATGGATGTCGAAGTAAATGAAGAAGTCGGTCAAGTTCATTAAAATCTCCTTTTTGTGCTTTTCCAATTGCTACGTGAGCCATATAATTTCTCAATATATATTTTGGATTAATACGGTTCATTCGTTCACGACGGATTTTCTTTGCATAACTGCCTTCTGAAGTTAATCGTTGTTTATATACAGAATACCAATATTCTTTTTGTATCTCAATCGGAATAATATCATCGGCAAGTTGTCTCCAAAATCTTGTATAATCAATATGATATAAATCTAATAGACGTATAATTTCTTCATAAAGCCATTTATCCGATTGCATATAATATGTTAAACCAAGTTTTTTACGCATTAACTTATCATACGTTCGATTAAAATGTAACCAAAATTCATACTGTTCATTTATTGGTTTTGGTAAATCAATTAATGAATTTAATGCTAAACGTAATTTAGCAAGATTCCAAGCAGCTATTGTTGGTTGTTGATCAAATGCATATCGACTTTCATCGTCTGAATGATTCGGTACATAACCTTGAAGTTTTGTTTCAACAAATCCAAACGGACCATAATCAATTGTTGACCCAATAATATTCATATTATCGGTATTTAATACACCATGTGTAAAGCCATATGCTTGCCAATGAGCAACAAGTTTTCCCGTTCGTTGAGCAATATCAATTAATAATAGATTGTAACGATTTTTATTCGTTAATGTTTTACCATACATATTTTTAATAACAAAATCAGCTAATTGTTGAACTTGATCATATTGTCCACGTGTTGAAAACAATTCAAATGTACCCATACGAATAAATGCAACGATCGGTGCAATACGTACAACAATAGCAGCTGTTTCAATAGCTTCACGACGAACTGGTAGCATAACAGAACCAACAAGACTTAACGCACGTGTTGTTTCGATACCTAAATTAAACATAGCTTCCGATGCAAGATATTCTCGTATAGATGAACGTAATACTGCTCGACCATCACCACCACGGGCATATTGTGTTGGTCCAGTACCTTTAGCATGAAATGCCCATTGATTTAATTGGCCGAGTAGAACAGCTCGACCATCGCCTAATTGTGAAGTGAAATAACCAAATTGATGGCCAGCATAAATCATTGCAGCAGGTTGAGAGCCGGATAGAAGTTTATTGCCACTTAAATATTCAGCCATTTGTCGTCGATCAATCATTGAAATCGAAAGAAGACTCATTAGTTCTTCATTGATAGTAATTAAATAAGGTTCCGGGACAGGTTTTGGTTGGATAAATGAATAAAAATAATTTGATGGTAATTGTTCAATATATGTATTATTATTAAAATGTAAAAATGTTTGTACATGACTTATAAATATAAACAATAAAAATAACAGAATCATAAATAGGAGAAAACCAAAACTACGTTTCAATAAATTAAATCTAGAAAATTATTAAAAAGTTCAATCGAAAACAAAAACATCAATGTTAAAGTTATATATCATCATTTTCTTCGCAGTTTGACCTTCGATATTGTATTCATAGTGCTTTCCAGTAAAGCATGCGTGTCTACAACAGAAGGGCGATTTGAAATAGATTCACTTATTATCAAATCTTTGAATTCAATATCAGTATAAAGTGAAAGTGATTAGTTAAAGTAACAAAAACGATGCTAGATAAATATTGAATTTCAATCATTTCCCATAAAAGATAGATCAAATTTCATAAGACTACTATAATAATTATTAAATGAAGAGAACGGGTGATAATGAATTATGATTAAATACTCCATGTAGTCTATAAAGTTGCTCAATACTGCATGACGATAAAATATCACCTTTTCGAGTTACGTAGTAGGAAAAGTTTGTTCGAAAGGTGGACTAAATTTGACTTGAGATTTTCATTGATTTATAATAGATAGTTTGAATTCAACCATGAGTAAAATAAATTTTATTCTAACTTCTGTTAGAGGCATAGATAGTTTATTAGGAGATACATTGAATAAAACGTTTGATAAATATAAAACAAGTATGTGTGAAAGAGAGCAGCCATTTAAAATACGGAAGTACAAATCACAAGTTTTTTTTCAGCGCACACAAGTTTACAATCTAGTCAATGTTAACTGTATAATGAATACATGAATGCTCCCAAATATTTTGATAGATATCTTTTGAAAAACTCCGATCGAATAAAAAAAGAAAATTATTCATACAAATATGTAAAGTTATCGGTTCAAAGAAAACCTGTTTACATAAAAAAAAAATGCTACACTAGATATCGCCATGACAAAAGCGGGCGTTTTTTAGTATTGCAGTCAAACGTCATTGCATATTAAAGGTAAAGATATACAAAACTATTAATCACTGCCTTCCGTTTCCTTGAATCAGCATTTACGCATACATATTGAAGTCGTGCTCTTATATATGTACTATCAATTTGTGATTAATACAACATGTCAAGCGTTACTATCGAAGAAGTTAACTCTACGCTTTATTCGAATACTTGTTAAGGAACCCACAATGAATTTAAACTTTATTTTTATCACTTGTTGACCTTCATCGGTAAATATAGATTCTCATTTTTTTTAACACAATCAACACGAAGAGGCTTACTCATTGCCTCAAACAAATGGCATAACTATGTCGTTTCGTCTTTTGTCGGGTTACAAATTCCAGCAAGCAATAGACAAAATACGAACGAGCAAATCTGATCGACATGAGACTGTTATATCGCCACTAAGACTGCCGAAATAGATAAAAGGAAAGAAGACGACATGTAATAAGCATATAATAGCAACCATCGACGAGCGAACGAGCCGTCGCCTAAACTTCAACTCGTCGAATGTCGCCATATCTCATTTCTTTTCTTTTTTTTTTCGTCTCCTTTCGATAAAGCGGCTATACAGCCCACATACATACATTGTTGATGTTTCTATTAGCATAGTCTTATTTATGTGAGACACAGGTGTTCAATTTCAATGGCAACTACAATAACTAGTAACTCATCAAGTAAAGTTCTTCGAATAACCGATGAAGAAAAACTAATATTATATCGATTGCGTAAAGTCTATGGTTAGTTATTCATTGGTCTATCTTACTAGTTTGATAGAATCTTACGTTATTTTGTTTTCTTTTAGCTGCTGATTATAAAAGTTATTGTAAACACATTAAACTAGAACCAAATATACCTATATCAGTCAAGAAAATCTATAACATCCTAGACGAACGTCAATCTTATCGACGTATCGCTGATTTTTTTCATCGAGAACGGTACGGTCACTTTCAATTTTCTTGATCAATTAATTAACGAGAATTTTTCTTTCAAAATTTAGTCTGATTAGTCTAGGAAAACGTCGAAAATCAAGTTTTCGAAAGAAACGTTCTCGTTCATCAACTCGTAATATATCACAAGTTAAAGAACCAATGGCTGTTACGAATTTGGATTATGAATCGGACAATATGGATGATAATTATCATAAAAAATCGAATAATCGAATAATGATAAATCATATCGATACACCAGCTGACAGTCATCTTATGATAGACTATGATAATGGTGATGACGACGACGACGACGAGAATGAACAAAATGTTTACCTCTCTGAAACTGATTCAATTCATTTCGAAAAACAAATTTTACCACAAAAAAGTGATGAACACAAAGAATCAATGATTCCTAGTATTTCTCAATCTTCGTCAACTTTATCGTCCGATTTACTATCTGTACGTACAAGTATTCAAAAAAGTAATATAATATTAGAATTCAACACGTAAACAAATAAATTTACATACATTTAGCTTTACATGAACTTGACCGTGTTCAGTTAAATTCTGATAGTAAAAAAGAACAGCAACAATCATTGAATAGAAATAGTAATTTAACAAATGGATATGGTCAACGAAAATTAGATCATATTGTTCGGTCATTAGTAACTACTATTAATCAACAGCAAAGAAATGTTCGTTCAATTATTAATGAATCAGCTGATTTATTAGTTGATGAAAATAAACGATTAGATAGTGCATCTATAAGAAATCAAGAATCGATTAAATGCGTTATTGCTCGCTTGAATACTCTCGTTGGTCGAGGCAATTCTATTTTTGATAGAGCAGAAAAGATTTTGTCAGAATTTTGATATTTATCTTTGTTTGTATTTCTTCATAATTCTCGCATGCTTAAAATATAAGGCTATCATTTAAGCGATCAGTAGAATGAGTAAAATGATCAGTAAGCAAAATAAATATAAAATCAGTAAAATAATTGAATGACTAGTAGAATAAATGAATGATCAGTACATTATTTGTGTGGTCAGTTATTAGTATATTTCGATTTATTGATATATTTAAAAATCAGTAAATTAGATTAAAGGATCAGTATAAAAATTGAAATGTGTTATAAGGTGATTTACTTTTTTTTTATGTTTGCTCTTTTGGTCTATATATCGTACAGCTGGCAAGTACAACATATATAAATGTACTCTTCGCTTCTTTCTTTCACGTTCAGCTTAGTATCAACGAGTAAAAAAGATGGAAGTCGTACAAGTTGCTCAACATGAAAGTGATATATCAGACAAAGAGGTTCTGGAAGGAAATGATGGAATAAATAGAAATGAAAGAATTTCAAAAAAGGGTGTGAGGACAGTGTAGATGAGCAGAAGAATCACACCCACACTCACATTTCTATGTTTTTAACTGATCAATTTTATCTTTTTTACTGGTAATTATATTTAATAAACTGATCACTTAAAGATTAATTGCTGATCATTCAATATTTATACTGATCATTCATATTCGTTTTTACTGATGATTTCACTGATCAAATATAATGTTCCTTTAAAATAAAGAATTTTGTAAATCCATATATTTTTCTTGTCGTTACATGATACAGAGAAAGTTTTTAAAGACAAATTACTTTGAGGCAAAAAAAACCACATCGACATGAAAATATTGTCATGAAAAAGTGCTACGTCGGAAATATATCGATTGATATAGCTTGTTTGATGATTCAAGTATTTATGACTATTGGAAGACGTGTAACGTCGAGACATCAAACATTATATAAATCGATTTTGCAACATAGCTGTTTACTTTTTATTACAATAAAAAGAAAAGATTAGATAGCTAAACCCTTATCCCTGTAAAATTAGATTATCAAAATGGCTACCTTGAGTTTTAGTTTTATNACATCTGTAGCCATAACAGCTATTCGAACATTAATCGATGTCATCAATCGTTCGTCGGCTGGTACAATGAGTCAATTATCTCGAGAGCTTAAATCAGCTGTGCTACTATTAACACTAGGGACATAAGATTAATTCGTTTTTTTAGAAGTTTTTCTTCAATTGAAATAATTTATCGAAATTCAAAATACCTATCCGCATTGATATTCACATTTAGAGATTCCACAACAACGTATTGATCAAGCATGCAAAATTTAAAAAATGACTGAGATCTTCGGAATTAATTAAATAATGATTATTGTGTCAAGCATTAACAATCCAAATTTATGTATATGTAAAAGAACAACTCACGATGCAATGTTACATTATGATATTTTATTTATGAATGATTTTCTGTAATTAAATCGGATGAGTTTTATACGCATAAAAATCTTTTCTCACTGATATCCTTGTTGAATACACGTATTGCAACATAGCTGTTTACTTTTTATTACAATAAAAAGAAAAGATTAGATAGCTAAACCCTTATCCCTGTAAAATTAGATTATCAAAATGGCTACCTTGAGTTTTAGTTTTATTTTTCTATTAAATGTAAAGTTTAATTAATTCATCACTAACTGCCGATGGTGTCAATGTTCCAATATCAGTAAATAACAATGTAATATAAGCTGGTGGTGTATAATCAACAAGTGGATGTTCCGATTCAAGATTTTTTCCATTTGCACGTGCTATTGTCGATGCTTTATATTTAAAATGATCAGGCAAATCACAATTATTTAATGGATAATAACGAACAAATTTAAATGATTCGGATGCAACATAAAATGGTTTGTTCATTTCATGTGCTGCTATAGCTATATTAAATGTCCCAATTTTATTAATAATGCCACCACTTTCAACAACAGCTTCAGCACCCATTAAAACCAATGTTACTTTTTCCATAATATATGCAACACTTGCATCTAATATACATATTGATGGTATACCAATTGCTTCTAATTCCTCTCTCATTTGTAAACCACTTTTATCCGGTTCAGACTCAGTAACATATACTTTGAATCGAGAAAATTTTGATGCGTATGCAAGCAAAGCAAGAACAACACGCGAATAGGAATGTGTTAATATAATACTTCCATCGACGATAAATTCTTGGCTATATTCTGCAATACGTTGTCTTGATGATAGTGTTCGTTCTAGAAAAACTTCACCACGTTCAATTAATTTTTGACGACATTCATCGATTTCAAATGTATCAAATTTTGCTAATGTTATGAAACGTAAAAATAGTTCACAGCCTGATTTAACACTTGGCATTGAAGAATCAGTTTGTGTTGTTAATAGTAGCACAGCTGATTTAAGCTCTCGAGATAATTGACTCATTGTACCAGCCGACGAACGATTGATGACATCGATTAATGTTCGAATAGCTGTTATGGCTACAGATGTTCTTTGAAAACAAATAAAAATATTAATTGATAATAAAAATTTGTACATAATCAAATTGAAAGAATACTTTTGCATCGATATATAGTTCTAGCTTCTAGACTACTGACTAATGGCTATGTGATTTTTTTTTTCTATTTCATTAATAGGTGCTTTTCACGAATAATAATAAAATGAACCCTGTTCTCTTGCCGGGTCGAACGTGTTTTTCTAAACCTTCTGGTTAATGATACTTCCGAGAAAACAAACCATTGTGTTCGCATTAAATTACAATGTAGAACTAAATCAAATATCTTAAATTCGAATACATTGAACTCATCAATGTAAGATACATTCAAAAGTTATGAGTGCATATCTCTCTCTCTCTCTCTCTCTCTCTCTCTCTCAATTGCTTCAAATTTTCCATAGTTCTTTATACCGATCTATTTGGTGACAATAGTTCTCAATCATGAACTTGAGTACTGCTTGAAATAAAAACGTTTCACATAAACCATAGAAATGTAACAATGGTGACAATCTCAGATATATATTTATTGAACTTCATTTATGTCTATAAAATTTTATTACATGTGATCTGAACAATGTATTGAACTATTAATGTCAATATGAATAGAAATAAGACTGAGAAAAAAGTCGACATAATTTTGACTGACATCATAAAAGCTTTGATGATTGACGGAGAATTTATTTTTTGACATATTTCTTTGCTCGACTTTTACTTTCATTCGGCTTTCATAACTAGAATATTCATGATCTATTAGATTGATCAATATTTATTAAGAATTCAATGTATCGATGAATGAAAAATAACTCTAAAGAGAGTTTTAGCTGCATACTCAGGTTCTTGTTGTCGAATACCAGTAAAATATTGTAATGTTTGATCATTCTCCAGGTTATCCTGTTGATTAGATGTGATTGTTGTATTATCGTGAGTCATCTAAAAATGATAGATGAAAAAAGAAAACATCTTTAAAGAAAAAGAGCAATAATAAAACGTGTATATTTTTGTAGAATGTCAATTCTATTCGAAAGTAAACTTCAGAAAAACGTTTAGTATGAATGCCAAAAAGAAAATCTTTTTCTTTTACAAACAATTTTTGTTTTTCTTTGATGCATGCGAGTTTTAAAGGAGATGTTGCTACACCAGGTTCGGTAGAAGAAAAAAAGCGAGCGAGAAAAAAATTGAAAGTATTGTTTTGTTTGTTAATAATTGTTTGACTACTTCAGTCTACATTAAATTGACAGTTGTCGTGAAGTCATACATCATCACTACGACTACTATTCGGTCAAATCGTTCCGTTTTTTTATTATTATCTAGAATTAATCAATAAGATGACAAGAATTCCAATAATTACACAAAATTTTTCATCTCCAGATGGTTTTAATGATATGCCGCTTATGCTCTTACCTCAAGCATCAACATTACCAGTATCCGATAAAGACCAAGAAGGTTTTAGTCAGTTATTATTACATGATTTACATCGACATCGACGAACTTATGTTCGAAATTTTACAGCATTTGAAACAATAAAAAAACGGCAAGATTTTATACTACGTCAAGAAAATCTTCGTTCATTACTTAATTTTGAACAACGTATGACAGTAAAACAAGATCAATATATTGATCAAACGTTTCATTCATATGAACAATGTTTTGTTAAAGTTATTAATGCAAATTCAACCAACACAACTCGACCTAATCAAGAACAACCAAAACGACCGCAGACCGCTGGACCATCATTTGGTAAATTTCATACTCATCAGCTTTCTCACCAATCAAATACAACACAAGAATCAACAGTAATAAAACCATTTCAACGTTATCAAAAAACTCATCGACCTTCATTAACATCCAAATATCGTTGTCAATCAAGTGTTCAACACTCTGCACAATCGTATCACGATGCATTTCAATCATCAAGTTTTTCCACTCAAACTCAACCATTTCTTTCGTTTACAGAGAATTATTTACAAAAATATGGTGATCGTTCCATAAATAAATTGCAAACGAAGACAAATACTAATGGTGTACAAGAAATTAAAGAAAAAAATGACGATGATAACGATGATGATGATGATGAACACATGCATTCAACTTTGTTAGAACTTAATCCGAAATTCAATCAAAATAAAAGACAAAATCAAAAGTCGAGGACACCAGATTTACAACATGTCCGAACAAATGTATCATCACGTAATACAAATACACCTTCATCAACACCTCAAACTGGTTATCACGATGCTCTACGAGATGGCTTAACAATAGTCAAAGGTAAAAAGTAAAAATTTTCATTCATGATTAATCTTTTATTTGCTTACTTTTACACTAGACGACGATGATCATAGTCATAAAATGTCTGTAAACAATGAAAAACGTCGTTCATCACAACAATCAACAAGTCAAACAAGTCATGGTGATAATCGAACAAGTATAAAACGACCAAAAACTGCTAAGAAAAAACATTTGACTGTTGATTTGACATCTGAAAAGAGAAAAGATTCGTTAACAAATAAAAATATTGACGATGATCTATTTACAAAAGTGATGATAGTTCAAAATTATGGATCTAATAATAATACTGATCTCAATCCTATGGATCGCCTTCAAATACAAACAAGTATACCGACGAAAAGAATTTCTTTTGACGTACGCCGTTCATCTACAAAATCTAATGACAGTAATCAAGATACGCTGAAATCTCTTGATAATATTGATACACAAATAACTTCGAAAAACGTATCAGCGCCAACTCCAGAACCAGTACAAACAACAATCGGTAATCATACAGATCAAACTGTTGAACCTGTTACCGACAATATAGTAATCATAGATAATATGCAACCTGTACAAGATCAATCAATTGAACAAAAACCAGTGTTAGAATTCGTCGATAATCGTAAACGTGTAAGAAAAAGTGCATTCGATCCGGGTGAAACAATGAGTGATATGATGGGTTTCGAATTAGGAATGATGGGTAGTAGTCGCAGTGCAATTAGAAAATCGAAAACTAGTTCCGGAAAAGAAAATCGTCAAACTGGAGACGGGCCAGATGTAATTCTTGAAAATCAAGAAACACTTGATTTATTAGAAAAAATTCGACAAAGTTCTAATACTGTATCAGTTGGTCAACTGGTTGCATCACAACAAGTTCGAATTTTAGATTTTAATCAAATATTATTTCGAATTCTTTTCTTTTTCTTCTTCTTCTTCAGGGTTGTCGTTTTGAATTGCCATATGATTTGAAATTACTCGAAACTTTAACACCCCTCGATTATCTTAGTAAATATTGTCGATTATCAACACGGCGAAATTATCAATTTAAACGCATATTTGATAAATATCGTAATAATCACTATCGTTTTGAATCAAGTAATTTATTTGCATCAATCGGTGAGCTACATCGAGACAATTTTACACGTTCACAATTCGAATGTTTATGTCAATTAATTGATCTTGGTACTGAACAACATCAATTTGCGTACGATACATTTTCGGGAATATTAGCATTGTGTGAACGAATTTTATGTGAGACAAAACGAACTACTACTGGTCTTGATGAACAAGATTTAGCAAAGGATACGTTAGAAAAGTGTGATTTCGATAGTTTAGATCGAAAACTTGATGGACTCACGATTAGCGCAACAATGAAAAAATTACTCACAACACTGTAACATGAATATGAAACAAAACGAAAAAATGTTTTTTCGTGTTCATCATGCTTCTCAGAAGTTGAGAATTTTTTGTATACTAAAGCGCAAACACATGATATTTAAATAATTCTATTTATTAAATTTAAAAAAATTATAACAAACTCAATGGTGTAAAAAGAAACACAATAAATATTTTTTCTACAAGCATCATTCAAGCTTTTACTTAGCCAAAACGTTTAAGGCGAATTTAAATTAGATAAATATTGGGAGAGTAATTTCTTTTTCGAAAGAAACCATTTCATTACTTCATCAACCATATATGCAGACGACTTCATAGGATAAACGCTTTGAACTAAACATTCACTTATAGTTGAACAAGAAATCTATTCTTAAAGTGAAGTATTCTTAGCATAGTGTTAACTAATTTCAAACAATTATTTCTATTTTTTAAAAATATATATGCCTTGATTCAATAGAAAGTTAAAACAGCATACAATTACTCATCAAGTTAGGATTGTACTCTTACTCTTTGTTAGATAGATAGATAGATATTCAATTTCAGTTATGTAATTGAAATTAGAGAGCTAGTGAATAGTATTACTATACATGCATGCATCAATATGTTATCTAGGGGTCGATAATTCTTGTATTGAGAAGAAAAACAACTCGAGGATTGTTTCTTTCGCAACAAGAGAATCGAAATAATTCTATTAGAGATTTTTTTTATAAGTACAAATATTCCGGACGATATTATAGTACATGCGAAGCGCATAATAAAGCTTTACTTGTGTTCTTCTATTGATTACACATGCAATGCCAACGATGTAAATCGTCTCGTATCCAACGCAAAAAATGTATTCATCATCGCAACGACACAAACGAGCTGATTGACAGCAATTAAATATTACTAATAATTAAATTAAGAACAAATTCTTACTGAATACATATCTAATCTAATAAATGTAAATAAAAAAAAATTCAAAAATCAAATAAAGACAATAGAATAAGGATTCACTGTTCTTTATTTTTTGCACCATCATAAAAACAAAGACAAATCGCGCATGTGTTTAAATGAGTTTGTTTGTGTGTGACGTGTAACGAAGAATAAGAACAAAAACAGGAGTTCGAATCATATGAAAAAAAAAGTAAGAGAAAAAAAGAAACAAACGAGCATCAAGTTAATATACATACAAGCATATAGTAAGTAATGAATGAAAATAGTATGAATACAAGAACTACATTAGAGTTTTGTTTTCTAATCGTTTTGCATAGTAAAAAGAAAAAAAAGTACGATCGTATTTGAAAGAAAAAAAATGTATCGAGGTATTCGAAAAAAAAAGAATGAATAATGATTAGATTCTGTTTGGAATGATTCGATTAGTATAGCAATAAGAAAGATAACTATTTTTGATTAATTTGACCATTCACCGTCGGTTGAGTCACTATCGTCTTCATTTTCTGGTCCTAAAAGTTAAAAAAAAATTTATACTGTCTACAGAAAACAAACGAGAAACAATTACTGAGTTTCTCTCGCCGTTCTGCAAGAATTTTAAGAATATTCATTGCCATTGTATCTTGTGCTCCAGGACTTGCATCATCAGAGGATGGACCTTCTTTTAATGGTGGTCTTTCTGTTGTTGGCTATAATTAGTAAAAAGAAAAAGGCAGAATAATTAAAAGGAGCGCAAAACAACTTGATTGCCTACTTTTAATATGGATGTACCAGAATTACGAATAGCACTAAGTAAATCGTCATGCGCTGAACCGTTGGATGGTTTTGCTACTGGAGCTGATACACTCCTTCCAGTGTTTGTAGAAGGAAGAGGTGGTGGTGGAGGAGGAGGAATACAACCAGAATTTTGATTCATAAAATTAGGTGGCATTGGGGGTGGTGGCGGTGGTGGTGGTGGAGGCGTTGCAGGTGGAGGTTGTACTCTATTGGAATCACTAATATTATATTAAAAAGAAGAAACGATGGTTATTTATTTTTGAAAACCTAAACAAACTTACGACACTCCTAGAAATGGTGGTGGTGGTGGCGGTGGTGGTGGCGGAGGGGGAGTTGAAGGGGCTTGCGTTGAATTATACGCATTGTCAGGCATGCGAGGGCCTGGTCTTGGTGGAATAATTGGAGCCGCTTGTTGGTTTGGAGCAGTTGGTGGAGTAAACATTCCTTGTGATAATACAGGACGACTATTACTCGATTGATTATAAGTGGGCATTGGAGCAGATATATCTTGATGTGGAGCACGATTACCATTATTATTATTTCGACTTATAGTTGGATAACTACGTGGTGGAATTTCTGGTGGACCACCTGACATTGTATGTTGATTATGTCCTTGATGACTCGATTCTGCTACACGTGTTGCTGGTTCTACAATAAAATAAAGATATACTCATAAAATTTTTCCTTTTCTTGTTTCAATAAAATACATATATATGTATATATATATATGATACTTACTTTCAAGAAGTTTTTGTAAGCCACCATCTGTTTTTACAAAATCTCGAAGATATATTTGATCTTCTTGTGATATGTGTAAGCCAGATAATACTGTTTCAAACAATTCTTTTTGTGCATCATCATTAAAAAAGCTCTATAAAAAATACCATTCATTTATGATCAATTGAAAATGGTAATAATAAAAAGAATAATTTCGCGTACTTCTTTAGTTCCAATGTGACTAACATGAACCAGTCTGAGAAAAATAACTTTCTAAATTAATATGAAGAAAACACTTTTATTCAACATACGTTGATTGAATTGGTGCTGATATGTCTGGACGAGGAGCATTCTTTTTACTTCGACCGATTGTGAAAAAACCTGGTTTCGTTGTAGTTGATTCTATATTGAAGAACAACAAAAGTCACTAGTTAAAAAAAAACAGAATTGATTACTTTTTGGAGTATGAACAGCGGTTGTTTGTACTGGTTGTGATACAACACTAGATGTTGGTTTCATTCCATTCACAATAGCGGATGCAGTTGATACAACTGGTGGTGGTGGGATAGCAGGAGGTGGTGCTTTCATTGGTGCATTACATTTTCTCTTTTCTATGAAATAAAAATGAATTGATTTTTAGAATCTTCTTTCAAAAATGTTTTGATATGATCTTCAGGTTAGTACTAGTACATGCAACACTCTGTCAACCAGTTACTTTTGTCAAGGACGAATTACCGTTGATGTTAAGTAGATTTGCTTTCATTTTTCATATATTCTACGAACACTTTTAATCTGTCGAGCGCTAATTTTATGTATCCACATTGGACAAGTTAATTATTAATGATTTTCTTCGTTAGACACGCTTTTAACTACTGTTAATACATTAAGATAAAACATAGAATTCATTAGCACGAACACTAAATGTCAATGGTATACATATTAAACACTCTCTGTCTCTCTCATTTATACTACAGGTTTGATTCATTAATAGTGACTCATACATATCAATAATGTCAGACAATGCGAAAACTTCATTGCTCAATTCCATGAGTTGCCTCTCTTTAGTTTGATTCCTTTTTCATATGACGATAAAATTCACAATAAAGTATTTATGAAAATTTCTTTCGATACAGATGAATATATAATCTGTAAAACTAGCTTGACTAAAGACTTTCTACTTAGTCTGAAATTGTTTTCTTGTTAAAATCCTTATCGTTTCAATAAAAACTCAGTATTAAAACAAAACAAAAAAGGTTAATAAAATTCACCAAAAACCTTTTTTACTTCGTCGGTCTTCCTGTTTCGAATGAAAATGATGACAAAATGTTTGTGCTTCATCGCGATCAACAAAATTTATTCCAATTTTACAATTCTATAATTCGAGAAATACAACTGTTAAACATTATAGAAAAAGCATTAAGCTAACCGATCCATCGAATGTATAGAAGACATCTACCGATTTATCAAGGCGAAGTGAAGCTGGTACCAATTCGTCGTAAATAGAACGGCCTGCCTTGAATGAATATAATGAAATTCAATTGTTTTCGCATACATAAATATAGAAAATAAGAGATTTACTTTTAGGTCATACAATCGAAAACAATAGCTTCGATTTCCATAGTCTTTAACAAAACAGAAAACGCCACATGCTTGTTTTCTCCAGGTACCATTATAACCATGCAAAACTTGAGCAACAGCTGTAGATAATGTCTAATAGAAGTTTTTACAACAAGAATTAAAATAAAATTTGAAAAAAATTTTATTTTTTATATTTACCACACAATTCGATCCAAGTATATCATATAAAGAGCGTAATTCACTTTCGGATAGACTCTTTGATGGATTATTTGTTGGACGTTGTTGCCGTGTTGTGCCGTCTCCACCATTCATTGTGATTGATTGCGGATAGTGCGGCGAATTATTATGCTGCACTAGGGTGCTCATTTAGTGAATATAATCTCAAGATAATAATATTATTATTATTATTATCATTTAAATAGTTGCAGTATATAATTCTCAACAATTATTATTTCAAAGCAACAAAAAATCTTTACAGATATCACACACTACCCAGCTATGATAATTGATATTATTCTTATCGCTCTTGTACTGAATGAAGAAGAAAACAATATAGTTGGCTATTGACAACAGTGACTCATCAGTTTTCTTTATACACGTCTTTTGGGTTATGCGTTTGTGTGTCTATCAGTCTATATTCAGTATTGGTGAATTAATTATTCAGAAAAATACAAAATACAAAACATAACTTCTTGTGTACTGTAATCAGTAAAATATAATTGATTAATATTTTCTTTTAAATATATTTGTCAGTCAAACGAGTAGATGTCGCTTGTGTTCTATAGTCTCAATAAAACTAGAAAAAAAACATACTTTCCATTAGCACGAATAATCAGATTAAATGATTAAACATTAGCCATATTTATCCTATCGGTGAGCGAAACGGTAAGGATAAATATGTAGATTCTCACGGGACATAATTTTATGTTCTGATCATAACTGCAAATTCGTCAATCAATTCGTTGTGTAAAGAATGATGAAAAAAATCACACTTAAACTGATCGAGAAAATAAATATTTCTCACCTAACAACGATGCAATAGGCTGCGTTTACCTGAAAGAAAACTTCGGCGATCATTTCATGAAAAAAGCCCGACACAGGTTTCTTTTTCTTATTTTATAGTTGTTTTATTTGCGCAGGGTATATGTGACTTTGATGCTTGTGAGTCATTACTGCAACACATGACCATTTTTTTTCCACATCATACAACCATAAGAAAAAACTCTAATTTTATTTATTATGATTATGAACTATCTGACTCAATTTTACATTAAGAATTTTAGGTTAGAAAAAAAATCGTATAAATATGCGTATCGATCAAAAGAATGGAGTCTAGAAACGAATACAAAGGAAACAAATTCAAATTCAAGCAAAATAATTCTTTAACAAATGAGATCTTACATCGTTTTTAGGACGACATGGTATGACATTGATTGTGGCCGGCCGTGTTGAAATAGGAATGGGGGTAGGAAGCAGAGTGCCATCGTTAATATTTTCTTTGTTTTCAATTGCTATTAAGCGTGTTTGTTGTTGATCTTTAATTGCAAGTTCGAGTTTAAGTACAGCATCAGGTTTGGGCATCGGTACAGGAGCCAATGGCAAAATCGTTTCACATTCAAATTTATCAACTAAGTAAATGAAAAGTCAATAGATATTACTAAACTAATTTAAACAGTAAAATCTCAGACTACGGATAATCCAATTTGATAAAAAAAGATTTTCTGTATCCAAAAAATTTGATTACATTGTAATATTATCGAAAATTTTCACCTACCTGATTGTTTAATCTTTTTCCAATCGTATTCAAGGTTTTGCGTCATGACATCGATACGCTGTGATTGTTTAATCAGATTAGTCATTGAGTCGTTTGTAATTAATGGGGATGAATCAAATTTATTACCAATATCTTGTAATATTAAATTCAATTGATTGGTATCACGTTCAATGTTTGTAAGTATATGGCCACATTGTTGTTCATATTCATCACGAACTTGATTAAAAATCGATTGCAATTTTATTTCTAATAATTGTCGAATTTCATGTCCATGTTGAGTACATATATTATGAATATGCTGTGAAATGTATAGGCAAATAAAGATTGTATTACACAAATAAAGAGTTATGGATTACTTGAATGAGATTAGCATTTTTTAATTTTGTATTTTTGTGATCAGAAGTTTTATGAATATTAGTGACAGAATCAATGAGATGAATTATCTTCAAATAGAAAATGAATTATTAAGATTTGCATCTGACACTATTATGATTTATTTTCTTCTGACGCTCCCATTTACGTTACGGCAACTTGTTGCTAATAGAAATCAACCAAATTATCGAACATTTAATTAATATTTTCAAAGGATCTTCAGAATCTAATTATTTACGCCCACTCCTGTACTCAAGAAACCATTTAATACAGTTTTCATTTCGTAGTACGTAGGACACAGAGTTTAGAGATCTATTTGAGGATTAATTTCTCAATAGGAAACAGTTCCATTGTTTGTTTCTTAAGCCCTTGCCACTATTGAATACATTTTTCTTTCATTAAACATATATCCTATACTATACGTTGCATAATATTATCATACACATCGTATGTGGGCAGTATTGGACCACTTGGATATGCTTATGTCATTGTTTAGATTAACCTTTGTTTTTTTCTAAAGCACACCAATAATTGTTTGATATAAGCCGCTCTACAACAGTGAACATTACAATAACAGATCAGTAAACTTCGTTATTCCTGTTCAGCTTCAAACAATTATCTTCAGTAGGATCAATCAATCGTACTCAGTATGTGCCCATAAAGCGCAATTAATAGTGTCTGACATGATCAAGTATTCAATGATAAGTGCAATAAATAAGTTCTTTTTTATGACGTTGCGTAAATGCGCCACAGACAAAAATTGAATTTCAAGTTAAATGAATATTAATAGATATTGAATTTAATTATGCGTAAAACTACAGAAGTGCTTTCTTTTATTCAGAACTGAATTCTAATTTTCGTTTCCATTAAAAGAATACGAAACGTCATTCTCGTTTTTAAGTAGAGGCAGTTTCTCTTTGTACTATTCATATCTTAGTTTATGCCCAAATGACTTCTTCTATGTTAACAATAGAAAATGACATTCAAAACTATTTAAATAAAAAAAATGAACTGACATACTAATCAGTTTTTAACATCCGATTTCAAATTAATATTTCACAGAAAATAGAGAATTTAGAATGGCATTGATTCGAGACAAACTGAATTAAACTTGACACCATAATATATTTACATTTTTAATACCATCTATGAGACAAGTTAAAGCCCAAGATAAACAAACATTGATCAGTAATTCGAATCAAATAAATATAAGATTAAATGCTCTGTCCCTTTTTTAAAGGCTACTCAAAACTATTGATCTTTCTAACAGAATTTTTAACTTTGCTTGACATATTAGATAGTAAACTGTTTTGGGTTTTTACAATAAATAAAATTTAAAAGAAATCCTTTTTTTTACCAATTCTTCAAGTTTATTTTGAGTTGTGAAGACTTGTTTTTCATGTTCATTTAGACATTTAGTTCGGACAATATTTAAATCAAGTAATTCATAATCACTATTTGTTGATTTTTCAGATATTTGAATTAAACTCTGTGTACGAATATGAAAAATATTAATTATCTAGTTGTGAATGATAAATAGAGAAAATCGTTTACTCGAAAATCGTTTGTTAACTAAAAAGAAACATAAACAATGAATATTGTGTATATAAATATATAAATAACAAACCCCACTACAAGAGATACGAAATAGATAAAATTTAATCCTTGTGCTGAATATATTCACGGAAAATAGCGCTCAATAAAGTCTGATCGTAAACAACAATCTGCAGTTTATAGGTTTTAATGGAAAGAATTTGCTCTGAGAACACTACTCCGGTTTCTGATTATTTACATACTTTTTCCTAGATTTTTTTATTAGAAAAAGAATAAAGGCTTCTATGTTTATGTTGTGTGACAAGTCAGGAGTCTCGAACATTTAATATTCTACAGATGTGATAAAAATCTTTATTTGATCGCATGGTCACCGTATCAATCTCTTGCCTATTCATCGATTTGGATATGAAATTTTAAAAATATTCTCTTGTAGGAAGAACCTTTTGGTAAGAGAAGCAGTGCTGAACTATCGAGCGAGAAATCTAATTTCATGATGGCCGATTTTCTACATTTTCATCTGAAAAGCTTCCAGATAGAAAGTGCGATTGGATTAAACTACAGGTAAGTTTTATGATTATTGTTCAAATAAATATTTACCATTTGATTGAAACGTTGTGTTAAGAACGTATGTAAATCTACCCATAGCGACTGACTCGATGGACCAAATGAAGCTAACTACAAACAAAAGATAAATATCAAAAATATGATCTTATAATACTTAACAAACCAATTCTTGAAAACAAGTCTTCATTTTGATTAATGTTTCTTCTTGGATATGAATTAATTTTGCTTGCTTTTTATTATCTGCATCATTTTTTATGTCTACAACTAACGTTTCAATTAATGTCCTCAATTCACGTTCAAGTTCCGTCTTAGAAATGAGAGAAAACAATCATTATGAAGAAAAAGTAATCATCATTGAAATTCACCTGAAAATGATTAAGAACATTATTTAATTCTTCAAATATGGTATGAAAATTTTGAAACGCCAGCGATAATACAGCTCGAACGTTTTCGTTAAGCATATGAATTTGTTGTCCAATATTTGTTGATATTACTAATGCTTGTCCTGAAAAGAAATTTCAATGTGACTAAGACAATTATCGAAGTTACATATCTGTGATTCTAATATGAACTCGTACAAGACATAGTTAAAGACTTTTCGTTTTTTTTGAAGCAGTTGTTAATAGTATTCGATATACTTACCAACGGATCGATTACAAGTTGAAAACATTGTTCGAATGTCTTCGGTCATTCGTTGAACATTTATCTGTAAACTATCTCCGATAGATTGACAATCTTTAATATAATGCTCAATCAATGTTGAACTAGTCGAATGTGTTGAGGAAAGTTGTTGCATAGTATTGACAACTTGTTCACGAAACTAATATAAGCAAATAAATGAAGTCATGATTTAGATTTTGAACCAAAGCGTCAATCATCTTACTGTTAAAGCTTTATTAGTTATTTGAACGAGTTCATCGTATCGATATCGATTTAATGCTAACATTTCTTTTCTTTCATTCATTTCGGATCGGAAATCCTAGATAAAATAAATATTCATTCGAAAATATGAATTATACTAATAGAAGTGTTTCACTTGTTGTTGTGTTGTCAATTGCTGACGAAGCGAATCAACTTCTGTTCGATACTTAAGGAAGACGCATGTTAGACGAAGACGAAAATAAAGTAAACTATTTTACTTGATCAATCTGTTGTTCATTATTATTTAATTTAGCTTGATTATTATCGGATAATGTTTGTACTAGCGTCATCTGATTTTTCAAAGTTCTAGAATAAACATTATTTCAGTATTTTGTAATGAACAGAAAAACTACTAGTCTTACATGTATTGTGAATAAGGTATACCATCCACTTCTCGTTTAGCATCAAGTTCTTGACGTAAACGACGAATTTCATCGAGATATTCCTAAAGAAAATTTATATCAAGAGAGAGAAAATAAAATTGACGAATAATATACTCGAGCAACATCTTTTGATGATAGTTGATTAATTTCAGGACGGATTTTTAAGGAACGAGCACGATGACCATATTCAAGTGTACTCAGAGTTTCCTATCAATTCGTTAAAGTATTTTTTTTTGGAAATAAAAATTAACATACGGCTTCATTTGCTGGTGAAAGTGTAATAATAATTGAAGTTATAGTTTTTCCACAAAGGGAGTCTTGCAAAATTCTTGTCAGTTTTGAATCACTAAATAAAATTTTATAAAAACTATATTTCGAAAGTTAAGGGTAGAAATCTCGCCAGTCTACTAGGATCGCATTGAAGCTGGTTTGATACTTTATCATGTTGCAAATGGATGACCGAGCCTGATATTACATTTTCTTACATAGCTAAAACTAAACTCAGCAAGTTGAACAATATCTTTGAATTTACAAGTAAGAAAAAACATTTTCTTGAAACTAAATGTTTTCCTTGTCAATTCGCAAAGAACTCATATCTTTTCGAGTCGGCTTTAGTATGGACTTGTTTTTGTGAGAAAGACAATATAAACAGCTGGAACATTATGATCGGTACTGTACGATATCAGTAGGTATTAGTAATGACTGAGATTTTTACATGGAGAAAGCTAGAAAACTAATTCATCTTGAAGTCTCTCGAATTATTAAAGAGAAGAAGTTTTGCTTAGTGTCTTTTTTTACCGATAACAAATATGTTTTTCATTTGAAATTAATGCTGTTATAACACGGCCGAGTGTTAATAAACTTTGGTTTATGGTTCCAGCTTCACGCGCACGCTTATCCGTTGCACCTGAACGCGATATATTTTCCGAGCCAGCTAAATCAACCTAAAAAAGAATGAAACAATAAAATCAAGCCAGTATTAGAACAAAAAATAGACAGACTAAATGAAGTTTGCCTAATCTCACGTCTCCTTGAGCATCTTTCATTGTAACAGTCATAGTAAAAATTGAATGAGAACGACTAGAATAAATAAAATTAGAATATTTTATTCCTATAGATTTGAAAAGAAAGAAAAATTATATTGCAAATAAATCGAGAACGATAGCAGGATCCACCTAAAACTCAACTAAAAGTTCACTTATTATTATAAACATATACTAAACTCATCGAACTCTGCAGTTCGAAACTATATTCTGAGGATGTTTAGGATATTTTGTTTTCTGAAAATGTTCAGTATTATTGATTTAATTGAAACAGTTAATTGTCATGTTTTAATCATTTCCGAAGGATTAGTTAATGAATTCAAGCTACTCTTCAACATAAACAGAGAATCATTATAATTATTTTAAATAACCTTGATGATGCATTCATTAATGTTTCTGCTGTTTGTCGACGTTGAGCACCTTTAATTAAAATTTTAAAAGCATCAAATGGTGTTTCACATGGTGCTTCAATAGCACCAATGATTGTATTGGTCTAAAATTTAAGATTTATGAAAAAAGTTTCATGAAAAATAAACTTTACTTTGTCTTTATCTTCATAGATTTTTATTTTTTCAGGTTGTTCATTTGTTGGATCAGCTAATAGATCAGTTAATTCTTCATTGTATAATTCAAGAAAAGTTATTTTAACTGTATAATCAATGTACTAAAAAATAACATATTAAAAGTGAATCTTCTTTGATATAACAAAATTTCAGATGTACTTGTCTTTGAAGTCCTTGAAATATGTGATGAATAGCTCTTGGCATAATACCAGCATCAGATTCAAGCATGGACATGTATGCGCCAACAGTGTCTTTTGATACTTTATCAATTGGAAATATTCCTAGCATTGTATGTGTTTTACTTGAATAGATTAAGAATAATAAAGTACTAATAGAACAATACAATGAACCAAACATACCCAGATCCTGTTTGACCATAACTAAAAATAAATGAATTTAATTTAATTTAACACAATAATAAATCTACATACGCAAATATAGTTGAACTATAACCTTTGAGTACTTCGTCAACAATAGGCGCAACAACAACTTTATAAACATCTTGTTGACGTGTTTGAAAACCGAAGACCTTAATAGATAAAAATTATAATAAAACTTCTAGTCTTCTGTTTTTTATTCAAATTACATGATCATAATTAAAAAACCGTGTTGTACTTGTTTTACAATTCACAATTATCTCTCGACGTGTTTCATTTACATTTAAACAACTAGTTAGATTTTGAGATTTCTCATTATCACTTAGTGGACTACGAAAATAATTTCAGTTAAATAAATAATAAAAAGATTCTAATTCATATCAAACCGTGGTCTAGCGATAACTTGAACATGTTTCTCTGAACCATTGAATGACTGCGATCTTTCACTCATTATTATTATTATTATTATTATTATTATACTTTCATCGAGTTTAGAATTACAAAAGAATCTGTTAAAAAACTAAACGTGATAACAGACGAACGAATGATTTTCTCTAAAGATTAATCATCTTCGACGGCAGTATATAATAAAAGCGCGAAACTACTAGAAGAAGAAATATATATGTATAGAATACTTCATAGATGTCACCTTTGATTGAATCAATTTCTTTTACACTGGCCTCCGATTGCACTTTTTTAAAAATATAGGAATCCTTCGAGGATCAAGGTTGTTAAAAATATAGAATGTTTTATACATAGTTTTTGTTGAATTGTTTTTTTGGTGTTTTTTAACTGCTCTGCTCCAAAATCGTTTTAATGAAGCTGTTATAAACCGTTCAACCGTCGCCAAGATCTTTAGGTAATTTTTTCTACTGAAATAAGTCACTAATTCGAGGATCATTATAAAAATTTTCTCAAATCGATAAATAGCAATAAAGTAGATCATAAGCTTTGAAAAAAAATACATGAAAAACACAAATACTATTCTCATAAATTAAAGGAGACGTTTCAGATTACGGACATGACTTCCCAAAAAATCTCAACCTAAAATTATTGTCCTGATAATCAGCATTCATTGCTTATTATTTTCCACAAGTTTATTTTATATTTTATCATAACTCAATTTTTTCTGGTAATCTGGCTTCGCAGCAGTCCTATATATCCTGTATTTCCTATATTTTAAAAATTTATCCTATAATAGACTATATTTTGAGCTTTTTTCCTACATTCCTATTTTTTTTTGAAAAAATTGAAGATTCTTCTAAAAAAATTCAAAAAACTCCTGATAAGTGTTCAACACATCATTTAAATATTGTCAGTAACAATTTGTATGGCTCTTATTTACTATTGGTTC